TGTTTTATTAGTACTAAATTATGTCAGCTTACTTCATGTACTGTACGTCGGTACTTCAAACATTTATTGCATTTTAAGTGCATACGTCGTATTCTGACAAAGAAGCACGAGTCCATCTTTCTGACACTGTGAATGGTATGTCATGAACGAAAGTATAAGAGAAAATAAAAAAATACAATGTATAACACGAATTGTAAATGTTTCATTCATGACTTCAATCAAAATGAGGGTTTTTTAACCAGTTAGCAGTTGTTTTATAACAATAACCCTCATAATACGAGCTAAATTTCGTTACTTCGGTGATTTTAGTATCAATATAAACAAGCTGTTTGTTGGTACGTTTGCGTTTCGAGAGGATATTTATTTGCTATGCATATGATTTTTCTTACAAAACAAACACATTTTCTGTTTATTTCGTGCTTTTTAGTTTACACACTTTTGCCGTGTAACAATACATGTATGTGCTCTCATCACATGAAAGAATCCAACGTCCATGAAATGAGTCAAATCAACATGAAGAAACAGCAACCATAACCACTTGCCCACGGCTGTCCCAAACTAATTTAAGGGCCATTTTCTTATTTCATACTTCAGAAAAAAACTTGACACTTCATTAACAGTACATTTTGATACACTAAATGTACATACATGGGTTACAGGTAATTAGAACGTGACATACATCTAAATAATAAAATCCTCAATCTCAGTTCACTTTCATGAAATCTTCTTACACACCAACACCGAATTTAATCAGTAAATTGGAAATGGCTCATTTACCATAATCAAAATTTTGTCTTTGCTTTTTAATTCAAGCCAAAGACAAAGAAAATTTTCTGCGATGAAACTGACTGTAATTGAATACTTCAAAATTTGCAGGAATGCAACTTTTATCCCTTTTAGACTTGTACAATTCAGAGAGTTTTATCACTTTATTAAAATTTCTGTCCAAAAGTACAGAAAAAACGTATAAATTAATACTTCGTTAGAAAAATGAATAACGGAATGTGAAAGCTAGTATGTTTTCCTGTCTGCTAACCATTTCTTGTCAACTGATATAAACAATTGTCATTCGAGTTCAGTGGAATAGTAAAGCGTGACATAATCTCTACGAGACGTTTGGCATGTAACAAAAGTTACCAACTCTGTCTACTTAAATTAATTTAACATATTTGGCGTTTCCTCCGTCATAATCTTCCTACCATAATAATCGCACTACCAGAAAAACGTTTCATTATCTTAACGACATTCAGATGAAAACTTAACTTTGGAGTTTATCTAATGATGAAAGTTTTGCAGCACCATACAAAATACGAGACGCTTCATTTTATTTATTTTTTTATTTTGCAATTTTGATAGACAGCATCGGCTTATTCCAAAAAAGTCGGATGAAAGTTAAGAAGCTGACTTCAAGAGATCTACGGTCAAGCTGAACATTCAGTTTTCTCATGATGTGTAACCCAGGCCCAGTCGGTAATATACTTAATGTGACAATGACATGTGGAATCCTCTGAAAGGTGGACGTAAAGAACTACTTTAACATTTTCGGCGCGTCAAACGCAACTAACGCTGTTCTAGAACTTGCCTGTCCCCAATGATAGTCGCTACTTCACCATTTGTTATATCTTCGGCGTGTCCCAGCATAACAGTCACTGTACTAGTACTCAATGATCATCATGGTGTGTCCTTCATTACAATTGCTCTATCAACGCTCATTTATATTCTTCGTTATGTTCTGCGAATCTATTTTTTCACATCATCTGTGGGTTACACAACATAACACTTGCCAAACACGCTAAACATTACCTTCGGTGTGTCCTTCATAACAGTTACTATACACCACCTTCGGCGTGTCCTCCATAACAGTTACTATACACCACCATCGGCGTGTCCTTCATAACCATTGCTTTCACCAACTTCGGCGTGTCCTCCATAACAATTGCTAAACACCACATTCGGCGTATCCTCCATAACAATTCAATTGCAATCATGTCCTCCATAACAATTGCAATACACAACGTTCGGTGTGTCCTCCATAACAATTGCAATACACCACGTTAGGCGTGTCCTCCATAACAATTGCAATACACCAAGTTCGGCGTGTCCTCTATAACAATTGCAATACACCACGTTCGGTGTGCCCTCCATTACATTTGCAATACACCACGTTCGGACTACTCTACATAGAGTTTGCTATTCACCATCTTTGGAGTAATTTCCACATAACAATTGCTATACATAATCTTTGGCATCTCTATATTACTATTGTTTTATATTATCAATGGCGTACAGCTCAAATTTGATATTCCTTTCATCATCTGTTTACATCAATATTGACAAATAGGGGTGTCGATAATTCTTATATTAAAGCATATTATTTATAGACTAAATCTTTAACCACCTAAACAGTCACTCATTTTCATCCATTGTGTGTAAGAGCGTAATGATTGAGTGTTGGCTTCGTCAGTGTTAGAGACCCTGGTTTGATTCCAGGAAAATGCATTATTTTCTTTTCTTAAAATTTTTGTTTATAGATTTTTTCCACGAAATGGATTTTAGTTCATCGGGAATTTATGTCATACAATATTTTTTGAGAACATTTAGTTTTTCACACATTCGCTTTTAACAGGTTAAGTTAGAGGCAATACAGTCGTGATTAGAGTGATAAATGAGGAATGGAAGACATTTGAATATATAAATATAAAAATGAGCCGAAATTGTTCAAAAATGTAGCAAATTGAATTCAGAGTTTTAAAAAGAAATAAATTGACAATGCTATTCAATCTATTCATTGACTGTTGAAATCAAATGCATTCAATTTTGCTAAACCGTTATAAGTTTAACTTTAAATTGTACAAAATATTTAACCACAGGTTTATAAAAGAGAATATGAAAACGTTTTTTGAAAGATACACAAAAATGCACAATTGCAGATTTGAAGTCGAAAAAAAATTTCTAAACTTAAACTCTTCATAATCTGAACTCTTAAACCATTACGCTACTTCGATATCCATTTTTATTCTTCCATATTGCAATAAAAAAGCAAAATGTAATAACTGAATATCTTATACAACCCATTATATTATAATGGTACGACTGATTAATGTAAACGTTATCTCTATTTTTTATACGCTCCTTTACAATTTAAACATTTGTTTGAGGTCATATTTGGCCTATCCACCTTAACAATCGCTCTAATTGAACACAATGATCATTTTCGGCATTCGAACGTAACACTCGCGCTACAGAATTTAAAATAGTTTTATTATCATTTTTTATTATTTTCGTAATCATATTCAATTTGAATCTGTACTGTATTTGTGTGTTTCAGCTAATTATCGACAATAGACAACTTATCCTCACAAACAATACTTGTAGTATTACATGAATATACAAACAATTAAAGTTTAAAAAATCCTGATTATATAGGACAAACCGTAATTATAGGTTAAAGTTTATTAGTACGTATTTACAAAATTAAATTGGTCAGGCGCGGCGAGTATTATGTTATCGTATTTTAAAATCATCCAAAGCTTCTCTATTTACGCTTTTAAATGTATTCCGATTATTTTATCATGTTGTGTCCTAATTAATTATCGATTTATACTCTAACATGGCAGTTAGATGGATAATGAAAATATAAATATAGCACAAAAATGTGTGCTCTTATTCAAAGTTGTGAAATATTATAATACACGTTTCAATATGATTTAACATCGTGAAACTTGACTCGGTCGCCGCGATACAATGAGCAAGAAGAATGGACAAATCATAACCAACTTGTTGCAAAATCAATAACGCTGGAATATTAATGAATTGCAAAGCAAAAAGGAAGTATTGAAAAGTTAAATCCGTGAACGGTTTAATAACACGATATATACGGTGGCACAAAGGTGACATGTGTGTGTGTGTGTTTTTATTTATCTTGTGCGCACAAGATACTATGTCGTGGCCACGAGTTAATAAGTCATGACCACGAGTTAATAAGTCGTGGGCACGAGATAATTAATTCGTGGGAACGAGATACTATGTCGTGACCACGAGATACCGTGTGTGGCCACGAGTTACTAAGTCGTGGGCATGAGATAATAAAGTGGTGCGCACGGCATAATATGTCGTGGCGGCGAGTTACTAGGTCGTGGAAAAGAGATAATTAAGTCGTGGGCACGAGATAATTTACCAGACTACTGATTCATCAGATTACACTATATTTTTTTAAACTTAGAAAAATTTCTGTTTAAAGTTTTACATGCAACATTAATTTTTGAAAACACAGAAGATATTCACTGTAAACTTGATAAATGTCTTTCGGAACATATTAGAAATTCACCTTCCAATGCCCATAAATCAGACATTAATTTTGACTAAGTTATAGCCCTTTGTGCGGACAATTCTGTGATAGAATTGGTCAGTTTCTTCGTACAACGGCCTGTTAATGTTGTTTATACGATAACTTGAGCTGGTATTATAAGTCCTGGTTTACTTTATTTGGTAGAGACATTGTCCATGGACAGTAGATAGCCTATAAGGATGTTTGAGGTCGAAGTAACCATGACACTTCATGTAAAATCCGTGTCCGATTAATAATATAGAAGGTATAAGCCATGGTTTATATAACATGGAAAGAAAGATCATTGCACCTGACCTAAAATTTTTGAGGTCATCGGGTCACAATGGCGCTAAATGTTAAATCATTGACCAATCAATAACTTGTACAAATGACACTTTCACAAGCAGGCAAGCAGGTAAAGTAAGGGCATCCTTTTACTATAGCACATGTCTACTTAATTAGGAAAATCCACATAAATATTGTAATCTGATTGGTTGATAGTATTATATAGTATCTCGTGCGCACGAGTTAAATAAAAACACACAATGTCACCTTTGTACTACCGTAGATATACCTTTAATGACATGAAAACATTTAAATTTGTATTATTATATCTATCATAATTATAATCAAGTGTATTAAATAACTTTCAAACTTGTTTATGTCTAGTGTTACCTAACCTTAACCTTTGAAAACATAATTATTTACAAGGGTATTTCCAACATAGTTATTTTCAATTATGAATAGATTCAATCAATAAATGTGTTTCGTTTCCCATGGAAAAGGAAGTAAAATTTGTTCCCGGGATATTTATAATCAGAAATAAAAGGTGTGAATAAAGGAAAGAAACAAAATGGTTTGGAGGAAAATACATTTTACTGCTATATTAAGTATATCTGTAATACTTCATTTTACCTCAGGTAAGCCAAATATTTTTATTTCTTTCTTTTTTTTATTTATCATTGAAAACGATATACTGATTATTGCGTGGATAAGAATATCATAAAAATCGTAAGTAATGAACTTCTGCTATACTAAACCAGGTTTTTTTTCACTGTTTATCTAAACCAGAGACGTAGATAACAATAATCTCCATTGAAATATCAGTCTTGTCTATCAAAAAATGAAAAATGACGCTTTTTGTAGCAATTAAAACTTGTATTGATCCATTATACTTTACAGCATTTGAAAGTTAAACTTTTTATCTATTGCTGCATGTTATTATATTTGTAACTTTCTATGCCTTTGACTTAAAAAGACATAACAGAACAAACCCACTGACCCATTCATATGTATAGTTTAGTAATAAAAGTTATTGATTAGTTCTCTTCAAAACATGATATATCATTTATCTTAATGAGAACTGTAGGTGTTTTCACCTATAGCCGTAGACAGAAATTATATTATTTTACTGACTTCGATATGTGGTTGAAACATTTTACTTGCTACAACTTTTAAGTTATCTACGTCTCTGCCTAAACCATGTTTTTTTTCTTCTTCTTCTTTTTAAATACAATTCGTTTTGAAATCATTGCCCACAAAATTAAACAAATCGTTATTGTGTTGAAAGCGATACGTACTGTCTTTTGAATGGGTCGACTTAAGCGGGTAGAATAGGTCAGGGAGATATGTTCAGTGGAGTAGGGGATCGTGCTGTTTGAGCCGGTTTCTGACCTTTAAAATTCTGAAAGTATAGTAAAATATTGTAAGGATTTATATCATTCATTTAACCATTTATTTTAAAAGCATACTCAGTTAATACTCAGACAATATGTGACAGTCTGTCACAGGAGATATGAGTTTTTATTACTTCACTTTTTTCGTAATGTTAACTTCCCATAGGCCTCTGGGAGTTATTCTTACTGTTAATGCAAGTGTACCACGTGACCAAGAAATTTATAACCTGGTAACAGTACGTTTTAACAGTATAAAATCTGGTCACGTGGTCTATTTTCTAAATAATGAAAATAAAATTTTTTTTTATCGATTCGTTGTTATTTTCGAAGTGTACCACAATAGGGCATTAGTCAGATTTACTATGACCACCCATAAGATTTACTTGCTTGCACCTTGGAGTGCTTTTCGCGTATAAAATATCTTTTTGTTGAATACAGTAGTCGAAAAGAAAACATCGGTTTTCACCTGAAGTAATTGCAATGTGAATAATAATTAGTCAAACTGGAACATGCAGACGAGTAAAGGATTATTAAACAATTTTAATCAGTGAAACATTTCAAATATAATGGACAGACATAGGATATCATCCATCGTTATTTTGAAATTACATAGGTTTAAAACCGTGCGAAGAATATTCTGGATACAGAAGGATCAGATTTCACTGATCATAACCGTATAAATGGGTTCTAAATAAAACACAGCTTATTGAATTAACCTTAAGATCCTTTAAACCCCATTGTGTATTTCCAACGCAATTGTAATTTTCTGTTTACCATATTTCCGGTCCAATTTAAAGCTGCAGATGACCTCCAGATGAGCCAAAATATTTCAAGAAAATAAAACTTGAGAAAAATGTATTCAGGTTTTATGAAAAGTAAAAAGACTGAAGATAAAAGTAATAATTTCCATGTTATTTGCGATTGATGGCTAATTTTTCTGTAATTTTCACCATATTTCTACTGCGTTACTAACGCAGTAAGGGTTAACTTTGCATATTTTGACCTCTTTTTTTGTAATTTACATTGTTTGTAAGTGCCGTTTGAAATGTGCATATTATTTTCTCTGTCAGCTTAACAATATTTTACTTTTGAATACATTTTCAAACTTTTCATGAACATTAAGCAGGAATCTGGAGGCGTGCTGTCTTAACCATTTCCTATTCTGTAATTTTGAGATTTGAACACAGTTAGTCTTTATCCTTATTATGGAAAATTATAAGTATTGCGATTGCATATCCATCTTACGTCATTGAATAACGTTAACAATCTGCTTTCAATTTATTTATCAATATTCCAGCACAACTTTCTACGAATGAAGCATTACTTAACATGACAGAATGTAATTTAAAGTCTGACATCCAGTTAGACTGTGGACCGGGCTCAAAGATTGCTATAAATTCATTACATTACGCCTATAATGTTAACTGTGAGACAGCATGTTGTACATACGACACGTCGCACTGCTTTGTTGAAGCAGGGATAACCGACATTCAAGAGGTTACTCGTCTTTGTTCTGGAAAATCAGAATGCCAAGTCCCTATATCTACAGAAACAACAGACTTCACAACTTGTTTCCTGGGCGTTAATCCTATTTCATATGTTTATTTTGAGTATTACTGTATACCAAGTAAGTGTATTACTTAATGAAAATATAGTAAAGATTCTCATGTAGGACTTAATAATTATCTAAATTAATAACAAAGATTTTAATCTGTTATTCATTTTTACCATTATATCAATTCAACTAAATATGTAATAATTAATAATGACAGGCTTTCAATGATCTATTTTGCGGGGAAAAATCATTTCAAAAGTATATACAATAAACATGTCACAAATACTAATTTCGTTGTTCTTTATGGTTGCATCCAGGTGCACGAATAATGTCAGTATGTTCTAATGGACATCTGGAGGAGTCAGACGGCAAGCCCCTGTACCTAACCAGCGAGAATTATCCTGCTGTAACAACTGGAAGCACGTCCTGTTCATGTTCCCTTGAAGTGTTCTCCTGTACATCAGAAATAAATATGTATACAATTGATGCAGACTTATATTTAGATACGAATAATTGTGAGCAGAATCTGAATTTTCTCGACACAGACAATAATACCTTATCAACGATTGGTTGTGATGAACATTACAAAAACAACATAGAAAGTAGCTTGTTAAATACTCACTACGTAAAGATTGATTTCATCAACAACAGTACATCAAACCAACAAGGCTTATTTTTCGTCGGACTTGATGGTAAGCTTATTCTTCCTATACCAGTAAATATTTTCAACATTGTTATTAATCTAACGGGAAGGGGCACAATGTTTAATTATTTACGATATATACCGGTATTAATTGATAGGGAACTGTGTAAAATTCATGAGATATATCGAACCTGTTATAATCATATATAACACAACATTAACAAATTCAAGAGTACGAGTCAAAATGAAACTTACAAATCTATAATAAAGAGTTCAAGGATGTGATCTAAACTAATGTTAATAATATTGTAGAACCAATAATTATTGTTCGGAAAGATGTAAGGCGTGTATATAAGGCGGTATATGTGCTGCGTTCAACACCAAACATTATACAACTATTCTGAAAACGAACAATAAATACAGATACAAATGTACCTGTATTATAAACAGTCCGAACAAATTAAGTTTCCTGTATTATATGCATAAGATGTGGTTACATTTGACACTTTAAGGTAACACTAGAAAGGTTCAATCATTTTCAGGTATTCTAATGCAATGACTGTTTCAATATGCACAAAAACGTTTATCGGTTCTGCAGTAAAATAAAATACTCTTACTTTCTTCATAGTTTCTTTAGTTTTTGAATGACAGTTTTGTTCGACGATTGATGGCCGTAGCGATGGTTTTCAACAAACTATGGCTGTAAATAAACAAAATCCTATTAAATCTTTATGTAAATTTTTATATCAAAGCACAATATTACCTTTCATACTTGTTGGAACATGATGCTTGCATTATTATATTAATGCAATCATTGTTAATCCATGTTTGTGTGGGCATTGGCAGATAATAAGATTAATTTTACTAATCAGTTTGTTTGATTTATACATGTTTCATATTTGACCTTATTTTAGCTTCAGTTACGGGTGAGCGCTATAAGCTGACTTGCAGTTCCCAACCGGAAACATGGTGTGCAGGTATGTTAAATTGGTACTTCGTTTCGTATTTAAGAACCAAAATTGGCTTGTTATTTAATAATATACAACAAAGAAAAATATTGAACTTATTCAAACAAATAATGTCAATTCTATTTACTCGAAGTTAACAGAATTTTATTGTTGATTGCTATAATAATTTGTGACATATGATCACGTCCAAGTATCGACAATGGAAACATTACACTAAGCAATGAGAACGATGTTTCTTATGAAGCAACAGCCGAGGTCACTTGTGATTCAGGTTATAAAACAGATACACCAAATATAAGGTGTCAAGCTAATGGATCATGGCCGATTGCAAAGTGTACAGAAAAACGTAAGCCGATTGATAACAAATTATTTTCCCCGGTTTGTTTGTCTTATCTTTTCCTATATTATTGGCGTCCGCGCCGAAGCGCGGCGCCCCTTATGGAATGAAGTCAGATTTTGTGAAAGGGCGACAGCAACTTCTCGAGCCTTTTAGTCGGTTATAATAAAAGCCGATCATTCCGATCGGTATGAGGGTGCTATTAAAAATGAAATGTCGCGATATGTACAATGAATAGCGAACTGGAGAATTCCGCAATGCAAACATTTTCAATTGAAATAACCTTTTCCGTCTCTACGTGTTTTTTATTTATCATTTTGTAGTACACAGTGGGTCATTATGGTATGTTAAAATAGAATGATGAGTTGATGACCTTAACATTCCGAAAATCTATTTATAGATGGATGTACTCCTATCGGTAATTCCCGGTCTCTCCCGGTCTATTTTGACCGGGATTTACTAGTGACCGGCGAATAGTATCACCCGTTTATTGTCCGGTCTCTCCCGGTTTTGGAGTAGATGTTTGATATCGTTACAGAACAGAACAAATATTTTACAGATAAATAAGCTTTTTTTCCAAAATGAATGTTTGTCACTTAGTTTGGTTACAATAATTAATAAACATAGATCAACTCTCAAATTTATTGATTATTATTATACATAAACATACAATTCGAAAAAAAAACAACCAACAACAACAATAACAAGTTTCATTTTATATATATGCGATAAAAACAATAAATATGTATAATAATTGAGAAAAAAAGGTACATTTTTATGGTATTAATATGACACTATCAACTTTGAAACATTTTATTTAATTTGTTATTCGTGTTTAGTAAAGATGCCGAGGAATTATTTAAAGTAATACAAATTAGATTTTATGAATTATTCAATTGATTGATAATTTAGGAAAATGATAAATAAAAATACAAATGTACATGTACATGGTTTAAGAATAAACAATATTATATATTGAAAGATTAACCATAATGTACTGACTTTTTCCAGTTAAGTTTTGACTTATAATCGTCGGTCAATATGACAATTGAATTCTTAAAATTTATTTTACAATTTTAATAAAAAGAAAGAGTAGTAAACGTAAAAACTCAGTACTAAAATAGCACATAAAACACAAAAAATAAAGGAAAACAATATTCATAAAATCTGTATTTTTTATATTAAAATAGATATTACAATTATTAATTGTATAATAAACAATTATGCTCAACATGATCAACATGGTAATATAACCAGTGTCATATTTTTACTAAGTGTGAACAGATATCTAATGATTGTATACATGCATGTATATCCATTGCTATTAAAAATCACGATCATAAAGAAATAACAAGTAATATTCTAATCTCTAGCATGCCAATCAAAGTTCATAATGAACAATGTCTTTCGTCCGTTCATTCTGGTAAAAACCAATTAACCATTGAAAAGTTTATAAGAATATCTTGTCATCATATGTCTTCTAGTTCATCTTCACTTTCTGCATTTCTTGCTTGGACGCCCTTTGATGCTTTGCATCAATGCTTTTCTTGTATTACTTAGTTATTTCTGAGTTAGTAAATGGATCTGTAAGTATAGTTACTAAGAAAATAAAGTATACATTCATGTATATATAACTTATTTTGTACTGGTATGTGTTTACTTTTTATCTGGAATGACGTTACATGACATACTACTGTTCTATGTATAATATTTTATAGCTCCATGTTCAACTAATGAGTGGAGATGTGTCAATGGAGATTGTATATCCGATAGCTTAAAATGTGACAATCTTCCCGACTGCGATGACGAATCTGACGAACAGAGTTGTTCAGGTAAATACAAGATGTTTAATTAAATTTATTTCAATGACATATTTGATACAACTTCTCAAGTAAATTCATCGCAATGAAAGTATCCGATAAACAAACCTGTCCAATTCGTTGATTGTGACTTCCTGTTTATTTTACATCATAACTGTAATGTTGACTAATGTTTATCTTAACATATAGTTCTAATCATTTAAAACACGACAACAAACTGCCATGTTATTAATCATAAAGATTATGAATGGTTATGCAATTTTCTATATAGTAAAAATTATTTTACTTCAATCTGACACTGAAACCATTAATAACTGTAACATAGAAACCTCTTTTGTTACCATTTTGTAAAGTGAAACCTTAAATAACGTTTGATATTAAGCTAACTATTTAAGATCAAACATGTCTGGAAGGTCTGGAGGTCTGTTACCATTCTAATGGAAGCCATGTGTGTGTCGACAAAGGAACTGAGTGTGGTAAGTATATCATTTATCATTGGAATTATCTCTCAGTTTGGTTTACGGATTTATTGATGTAAAAAAATGAATTGTTACCTTAGTTGAAAGTCCATATTATTCTCAAAAACATCATATTGTCATATGATTTGGCATTATCATAATTTTATGTCTTGATATTTATCCAAATGCCTTTCTGAAGAACGTCAATTAATATTTTGGATGGATGTCAAAATGCTAATTTAACCAGGGAAAGTGTCCGGGTCTGTCTTAAATTTATTTATTTCTCCTGGATCATAATTTATTGTCACTTTCCAAGGCCAATAATTTTGACACGGATTTTGACTCAATAATTGCCCTTTTTGAAAATTCTTGATAATTTCAGTTGAAGATTTGCATATATCACACTGTATAAATCGTATGTAAAATGGTCTGACATATGGTAGGTTTAACAGTTAATTTAAATACTTTGGTGATAAATCCTAGTTCATTCAGGCTCTTGTTTTACTATCAACCTGTCAACCACGCAGAATAGTCGGGAGCACTGAGAGTTATTGCTAAACTTATTCAGTTTTTATTAAACTTACTCCAGTTATTATTTAACTTACTTCAGTTAGTAATAAAATTACTCCAGTTATTATTTAACTTACTTCAGTTAGTAATAAAATTACTCCTGTTATTATTAAAATTACCCCAGTTGTTATTAAACTTATTTAGATGTTATTAAACTTACTCCAGTTATAATTTAACTTATTTCAGTTATCATTTAGATTACTTCATTACTGAATAAACGAATTTATTATATGATCTAAATATAGTTGTAATCTCATTGGTCCAAACGGTAGTCAACAGAACTTTGTTGCACTTATACATTATCCCTCATGTACAGACTCAATCAAATCGAGTCTGCAATTCTTATGTTATTTTGTTGTGATTGATGCTTCCGAGGGATCACTTTGTTTCCAGTATTTTTATAACATCATATTCACTGGGTTAAGTATCATATTCACTGTCTGAATTGGATTTTCCCAGTCTAAAAATAGATTGAGACGCATATTCAATGATCATAAACCGTAGACTGTTGATTACGCGTGTTAATTAAAAAATAATTGTTGTGTTTTTGTTCTTTTTGGCATATTTCTCGATTACAATATCATTAATTTACAATTATACTTTAAGGCTACACCGCAAAGATGAGTATGCACTTGAATTATTTTTGTATGCGCAGCGTTCGCAAAGTCGTTGCACGCCTAACACGTGCGTCTTTTTTCCCGCGCTTCAACGAGGCAAAATTTGTGCATGTATATAAGGTTGTACTTTTTGTGATTTTTTTATTATGTCTTAGCCTATTCATATAATAAAACAATTATTGACTAGTGAGCCGTTGAATATGATGTGATATTCACCGGCAGAAAGTCATATTGACCTCGGCTACCGCCTCGGTCAATATGTCATCTGTTGGTGAATATCACATCATATTCAATGGCTCACTAGTCAATAAATGTATAATATATTCACCTGTGGGAATTTAAATGTGCATTACTTGCAAGACTGTAAAATAACCCGGTAACATCTACCTGACTCTTTTTAACGAAATTTGTTCCATTGTGCAGTTAAAATAATGTGTTTTTAGGTTGTGGTACTGTACCATCAATTGAAAATGGAATTGTTTCACTTGATGGGAATTCATCATTTGGGTCTGTAGCTGATGTGACGTGCAATGAAGGATATGCTCCGAGTAGTGCAAACATTATTTGTTTAATGACTGGTTCATGGGAGACGGTCTCTTGTTCAGCTAAAGGTAATTCCGAAAAATAAACAAGACAATTGTGAATGATATAAATATATACATTGTAATATATTAATGATTATTTAACATCTAGAAACAGATTAATTACATAGTATATTTAAGACAAATGTTATCTTATTCATTCAGAAACATAGAAAAAAATTACGCACATTTCATAAAAACAGCTCGCAAAGAGCTGTGTCTATCTCATTAAACATACACGCTTCATCTTCCAACAGAATATCATCCTCTACGTATACATAATTTCAAAATTTTCACATGCATGTATTACAGTCAATGTTTAGGATAAAGTTAAATTCTTTATAGTGCTTCAGGAATATAGTTCCATATTTATAATTACTATGGATTCATTTATCTTCGTATGTGTTTTCATTTAGATAAATTATGTCCCGCTTATACTTATAATAAATGTGTTATTAAGAACACATGGTTTATCTACTTTGTCTCAAATTTTCACAAAGCTTCCTTAAGATCATTCAAATTTGATAATAACTTCTATTTTATTCCGAAAGTTGAATTATTATAGAATAGTTTTAAAAATCAACATGATTGTGAGTTCTGAGCTTCCGACAGTTTCAACATTTTCTTTCCGATTCAGTCCAAAACACTCAAGCTTTGTAACCCAAATGTACTTGAGTTTATAAGAAATCTCTTTAATTTAATATAATCTGCTATGTGCTGGCTTTTTTTTCTCAAGTTTTAAGTCCTATTTGGCTCGCGACTTCATTAACTGATTCTGATCTGGTTTTATTAAAACTATACAACATTACTGAATAAGCTGTCACACCTCTAAACAAAGATAAAGTACATAATAAAGAAGTTGAATGAATTAATCTAGATTGTGGACCACTACCAATACTAAATGTTGGACAATACAAACTTGTAAATGGAACTAGCACAGTGTTTGGATCTATAGCGAATGTCATATGTGACACTGGGTATACTTCTGATAAGCCAGTCATCCGCATAATGGGAAACTGCTGTCTGCTCAATTGAGTTCAAATCGATATCGGCCTTCGTGATTATATTACTACGCATTTGAACTCAAACCGTGCATTATTCTACAATAATGCACTCAGAATTGATATCCATTTCCTAATTTTACAACGACAGTCACTATGTAAAAAAGCGTGATAGACCGTAGTAAAACATGTTAAACGGTATGCAAAGGTATAGTACTTAGTAGCCGTTTCAAAACTTGAAAGTGGTCTGTTATGGAACGGTATGTTTTATCATGCTGTGCTCCATTCTATCACGATTGTTCGCTGCAAGTCAAGATAGGTGTTTTTTTTTTGTTTTCGATAGCCGTATGTAAAGTTGCTTCTGCTACGTTTTCACTTTATTCTATGCGGCAATGGATATTTGCGTTTTGTTTTGTGCGAGTTTGGCCTTTTTGTTTCCCCATACAATTTTGTCAAATTGTTCAAAGTTTACTAGCGGTTTACACGATACCCTCGCTGTGGAACTTAGGCCACAATTTACCAGCTATGTATGACGTTTCCAGGTTCAATGCGAATGTTGAAAAAACTCATAGGATGTGTTATTTCTGGGATTTTCGAATCCATAATTACCCACTCCTCCCCCCCCCCCCCCGAAAAAAATGACTCGTTCTAGTGAGACTGTTTCTTGTGTAGCTAAAGGTAATTCTGTGAAATAGAAAAGAGATAAATTATTCAATAGAACAAAATGATGTATCTTTTAAATGAAATTAATACTAGTCTATTCAAATAAATTGTCGTCTGTTCACTCAACTAAAACCTTATTTATTATCTATGCCTCTTTGATAAATTCAAACTTTGCTGTGACCACACGATCAATAATATTTTGACACAGCCATAGCATATCTAATGACCATCAGTTAAGTTTTTTTTAAACTGTATTTATTTCAAACTGATAAAATTATTATATAGGGACAATGTTGTTTTGACTAAAATCAGACATTACCAAGTGATTATGGCGACATGTAATTTTTAATGCTGACCTTATATTTGTTTGTTTTTTCTCTGATAGGAACAACACCAGCACATCGTCCAACGAAGAAAAAGGACCCTGGAGTTGATATAAGCATCATCATAGTCGTAGTAGTTCTGTGTATAATATTTCTACTCCAGCTTCTACTTATGTGTTATCTACAATGTAAAATACATAATATAAGAAGATCTGCAAGTAATTACATTGTTATTGCTATAAAAAAGTATATATATATATAGTTGACCACCATCCTGTATCTTGTAACGTTAAGAGTTTTTGATGTATCATTTTTCCCAATATTTCAGTCACATCATTTGCTATTTGATTATTGTTTTGAAACACTGTTACAATTTTATATGAAACACATGTTGTAAACGAATTTATTTATTAAATATATGTGGTTAATAATGTTTATAGATTATTTCTGTATATTTATGTTTAGTATCCGATAAATTTGAAACACTTTCTATGGCAGTTTACATATTTGGCGGAGGTATCTTGTTACAGACTTAAAACATCTGATTACAGCTCCCGATAAGTCTGAGGTCAGTAAGCGGATATTGATGACTATATTAGGAAGTATTCCAGTGCTCGGACTTATACCAATCTATATGGCATGGGCGGTTTTTTACAGAGATGTTTACAAAGGTAAGATAAGGTGAATGCATGTACTCAAAATAGACAGCGTTTTTACAGTTCTGTGTATATTTATACGAGATACCAGAATTTGAATTTAACCAAGGCGTCTAACTTAAAATCTTCGATTTGTGCAATTATGAAAATAAAAAAGAGAAGACCATTTTTATTTCATGTAAATGTTTTTCCCCTTTTTTTAATCTTTTCCTGCTTGTTATTTACATTAAATTTGTCAATTTAGATACATTGTAGTTTATTGCAATTTAATTTTTAAACAAGGTAGACATGACTGTTTTTTAGGCGAGATATATCGAATATCAAGTTTAAATATTGATATTACAGTGTTGTTTGTGTCGTGTGGAGTCGCCCCGTACATCCTTAAAGATTGTTCAGCACGACATTATTGTTGTGCTTGTGGTAATTAGTTCTATCAATTCGGCTATTTTCTTTTTGGGTGGTTCAGTATTCCTCACTTGAATACTGTTGAATCACCTTTAGGATATGTGGTCTTCTTTTTAAATTTGGCACACGCATTTTTTACTTGGGGACCATACGTCGCTTTTCATGGAATGGCACTCAGGTGTCACATTGAAGATTCCATGATAACCGCCAAATGAACACATCTGCGGATGTTTCTAAATTCAAAATTGTACCAGTTCATGTTAAATGTTGAATTTTGCTGAAGCCGGTGCTAGGGGGCGTGGACGGTAGTTTGCACTTAACAGTACCGTCCATGAACAGGCTCAATCAAACCGAGCCTGCAACGTTTTCACTTGTGCCGTGTTGGGCTTTCTTTAGGAATTCTTATTTTTAATATTTTATAAGAATACTTCACATTTATTATCATTATATCTTTTTTTTACCATAATGGTACTGGTCACCTTGTAAATTACTGAATGTTATTTCCTGCAAATAATTTCAGTCAAACAGAATAAGCAAACGGAAGAAGGGAGTCAGAAGGACAGTAAAGGTGCTTCTAATCCTACGTATGATAACATGCCTATGAATAACAACACAGGTGATCATGGCGCACATACTGAAGTTAGTGGAATCGAGCTAGAATACAAGACACCTGAAAAAAACATACATGTAGAACATGGTGCACTGAAGAAAGGACACAATAATAATGACGCTGGAAAAATTCATTCTGAATCTACACAAACTATTAACTCCGAAACAATGCATGATGGGTAATCTTATTGCATCTTATGTGTGTTGTTTCTTTGATTTGGATGATTTATTGTAATTTAACATTTCTTGATCAGAAATTCAACGTAAACAAAATCTTAACATCCTTAATGAATTTGAAATAACTTTCATTACATATCTATTCGTTATATCATTGCCTGCACATTTAATCTAGTAGCCAAGGACAATTTCTTTCGACCGTCATGAAGAACTTTAAATATGACCGATATTCAACCATCTATTATATTCTTTTATTTCCCCCAATAAGAATTCACAATTTCAGCATTACAACTTCACGAATTTGAACTCGTCAATTCTCGAAGTTGAAATCATGAGGTTCATCATGTTGAAATTGTGAATTCGTGAAGTTGAAATAAAAAATTTATGAAGTTGAAATCTTGAATTGATGTAGTTGAAATCTTGAATCCTATATGTTGAAATCGTGATTCATGAAGTTAATATTGTGTATTTGAGAAGCTGAAATTATGAATTCATTAAGATGAAATTGTGAATTCGTGAATTGAAGAAGTTAAAATGTCACCGGCAGTAGATGTCTAGAATGAAAGTATGCTCGACAAAGAATAAGTAATGAGCATTTACGATTTTTTATATCACTTTCAAGTTGGTTATCAATCAATTAATTGATAAACGAAACATTAATGAAAGACACCAAAATAAATTATAACTAATTCATTACAAGAAATTAAGTATAAAAATATTTCTTTAAAATAAATTTTCTTTTAATTAATAATACGAAAATCATTCTAAAGCACATACACATTTTTAAGTTTAACTATTGTTTTTATTAACTTCTTCCTGTTTGTAGTTGATACGCATCCACTTCAATTCTGTTTATATGTGTATATTAAACACTTATTAGATAATAAACACTATTTCTATATTGTTATAAATGATACCTCGAGATATTGTACGGTGGTGTTGAATGAAAGATTGTCAGGTATGCACAAGATGCTGTCATAAAAACTGTATATATGTCTTAATCAGATATCTACATGTGCGTTCTTTCCTAACCTTCTGTTAACATGCCCTCTGATAATATTTACAATTATATTCACCCATAATCTTACAAGCGACATTTAAAATGTAATGAGCAAACATGTTACATCTTTTCATAAACATGCAATGAGCACAGTTCAATTATGTTAAATTCTTCTATAAACATGTAATAACTGATCCTGTTATAGCCCTTCATAAACATGTGAACTCCAAACCTCAGTTATTTTGTTCAAATCTTCCACTACATGTTGCATTTCTATCAAAATGATCAATTAATAAAAGACGTTTCTGTGTAAGACTTCCATGGATGATTTTTTCCGTTTCCATTTCTATAAATATTTTCCGTACATTTCACAATTCCTGCCAAAATCATTCGTGAATTTGCTATAATAATCAAGAGTTTTATAAAACATTTTAATAAGCAGTTTTCCATAGTTATGTCATTTTCCATAAATTATTTAATGTCTTTTATTTTATTCTATAGAAGTATTTCATTTACATCTTTGGTCCCGTAACACAAAAAAAAACAACAAAAAACATTAAACTGTTTCATTTATATTATAAAGTATTTCATTAGCATGCTTAAACCCTTCTATTTACATGTTTTGTAATGTCAAGTAGTCAATCAAGCTGTTATATCCTTTCAATGTTTTCCATAAGCATTTCTAATACCTGTATTCCATCCCGTTTAAGTTTTCATTGAAATTATTCATCCGGTCCAAGTATTCAATTAACATGTTTTTTCTGTTAAATATCATCCATTAACATGTATTACCCTGTAAAAGTCTTACATAAACAAATATTATGTGAAAATCGTCCATTAATACGTTTCATTCTGTTGAAGTATTCCTTTTCCATTATTTTTCCGTTAAGTCTTTTTTTGTCATAATTAATTATGTTTTGGTCTTCATTTATCATGTTTATCCTGTTGGAGTGTTTAATTAACATGTTTAAGAATTAAAAGTCTCTTTTCTTTCATGTTCAAGTATTTTTATCAACATGTTTTTAAGTCATTAATTAACACGTTTTATCATGTTTAACTGTTTAATTAACATTATATTCCCTTAACAGTGTTTCCGTAATATCTTCTATTGTTTTGTCTTGCGTTAACATGCTTATCAGGTTTAAATATTCAATTATTACGATAATCCTGTAAATTTATATAATTTACATTATGTATCATGTTAAAATCTTCCATTAACATGTTTTATACTTTGGAAGTCTTTAAAAAAATTAAATATTTCATTTACATGTATTCCTTATGATAAAAGACCTTAATTAAGATAATTTCCATTAACATATTTATTTTATCAAGTTTAAGTTTTCAAATAACTTAATCTTACGTTTATCCTGGTGTTATCCTATCTATGTATTAAATAAACATATTTTATCAAATTATTTTCCATTAACATGTGTTATCAAATTAACGTTTTTCATTAACATGTTTTTCTTTTCTATGTCTTTTATTCAGTTATTTATTGCATTGTTTTTATTTAAATTATTTGTTCTGTTGAAATATTATATTAATTAAAGTATTTTACCACGTTAAAGTATTGCATGAACGTGATTTGTCCTGTTGAAATATTCTATTAATTGATGTACTTGATCATTTTAAAGTATTGCATTAACATGACTTGTCCTGTTGAAATATTCCATTAATTAAAGGCTTCAATTAAAATGTTTGATTAATGCTTAAGTACATTAAAATGTTAATTTTCTCTTTAACTTTTGAAAAAACTATGAGTAAATTATTTCGTTATCTTTTTCTGACATCATTTTGGAGAATGTTTCCAATAAATTTCTTCTTTTGTTTCATTTTTGATTATTTTGATTTGTTAACTACACCTTTTCATAAAGAAGTTTCAGGATATTTTAGGCGCGTAAGCTGATTATATATGTTGTGTCACTTACATGATACTAAAAATATCTTTATAAATATTCATTAAGTTCGTGTGATGTTTTAGATGCTAAAATAATTGTACAGTGATTTGATAGATGCATTTCTCAATGTACATTCTTGTTTTTGATTGTTTGTTGGTTTCAGACATCAGCACGGGGAACATGGAGTAACCATGAATCGCGGAATATCGGCCTTATTTACTAATGATGATATGGCTCTGGGACCAGAAAGAAATAGACAGCTTTCCCCTATACCGCAACATCCATAGGAACATAACCATGACGACCATTATCATCATCATCACGTACGTATATGTAGATTATTTCATGAACCGTTTTAACTTTAGTATGTTAGAATCACCCATCTTAATTAAATACCTATGTTTGCATGGATTTTAGATCTCAGACAATTCATTCGCTGGATGATGCTTAAGTGATTGCACATACTCATCAAAATATTTACACTTTACAGCAGTTTGGTTTCTTAGCCCAGCCTTCTACTGTTACCATGTTTTGACAAGCTTCTATAGATTCTTTGTTACAGATTATGTGTAACAGTAGCAAGAAGTCATTCCAGTCAAAGCAAAAAAAATGTTATATTTTACTCACTATCCATTTATATCTATAACATTAATAATATCTGGCATATGTTGCGGTTCAGATGGGAATATCAATCCCAAGGGGAGGACCCCGCCCAATGGTCGGTAACGAGACTTGCCGAGTAACCACCCATTGGCAGGTTTCCGAGTGTCAGATAATCCACCTAGAACACTCCCAGGATCTAGCTATAGCAGTTGACAGTATCTATTCCATCATAATTCCTTATGCTTAACCTCTAATAGGTCAGAATTTCTCCTTCAATGTGTGTATTTTCAGCTTCCCTTTTCAGAGAATATGGGGGCGGTTGAGAGGCAATTCAATAGCACTATCCTGTGTCAGTGTCTGGCCTCCGTCGCCGAGTTCTTTAGGTCTCCAACTTCTTTTCATATGCTTATCACCACTGTGTGTTTGAATCTCTCAAGGGACGTTTAGAAGAAGTATCAAAATATCGTTATCCATGGAAGTTAAACAAATTGTTGCTTTTGTAAGAAAAAAAATGTTTGAAGTAATTTTTAACAAATTAACTTGAAATCATAGTCAATTTTTCATGGGCATGATTGTTTTGCCAGTTAACCTGTCGGCTTTATTGACAGCGTCATGTGTTTTCTCGAAATCAAGAAAATTACCTACTCAATATTGGATTACTAGAAACCACATTGCTTTGAAAATTATGAAAGCTAAATACCATGTATTGAGCATTATTGGTCGTTTAAAAAGAAGACAAGATAAGCTGTAGCATGATTCATTGACACTAGATGTGAATTACATGTATAAAGTTAACATATTTGATTTCTTTGGAGATTTTATTGTATTTCCATTTTCCAAACATTACATTTGTAAGACTAGTGTTCCACCACTAATCAGTCATGATGCTATGAAATAGCTATATCAAAGTACTAGCATTGGAAGTATGATATGAGAAATCATATGCTGCACATGTAAGAAATCAGCGCAAAATACATGTATATAATCTTAGAAACTTGCTTAATTATTTTGCTGTGTTTAATAGATTTTCTTTGGGGATTCTGTATTTATCTATTTAATAGACTATACACAATACATTGATTGCAATCATGCTTTATTCCCTGGGCATTGAGAACTTAGTAGATTGTGTCTTTTTCACATGTGCTTCAAGGCTCTTGCAGGGTTTAACCTTTGATTTATTTCATAAAGTCCCTGTAACATATCTTCTTTTGTGTTTCTTCATCTTGAAATAAATGAGTGAACACATCCAACTCACCAGTTTGACTAGAGGTTTCTTGAACCTGATCTCCAGACTCTATATTAAGCACTTCATATGATACTTTCTCTTGAACAATGTCATCTTCAGCGAGCGATTGGTTTAAATAATTCTTCAAGTTTTGAACGACTCTAGCTAGATTTGTGTGTTGCGAATGGATTTTTAGCTGGTATAACTATTAATAGATTATCACTGTTAAATGTGTCACTGTTCACTTGTGTACTGCTTGCATATGAATGTTCAGAACATGTCATTTGCTTGCATGGCTTCCTTAATGAGCTGGATAGTTGAACTTCCAGACCGGGCAGTTTCTGTCTCTAGGAATGGGTTTGATGGCCCGGCTATTGCTTGTGGCTTTTTCAAAGAAGGGGACAAACATTTTTCTGAAGTTGAAAGATCCTCTGGCCTTGGACTACCCGCCACAAGATTAAATTCGAGTTCTGCTTCTTCCATTTTACTTGAACCTGGAGAAGGACTTTTTAAAGTGTCTCTTAGCATGTTAACCTGGTCTGAAATTGTCTGATCAAAGTTACTGGGTTGTTTAGAGATATTATCGTCTGCAACTGACTGGCTGCTACACACTGAGCCTTGTCTTGGGCTCGGTTGTTTAGCTCTTGTAGGTGTTAGCGAATCAACCGGCAAGGGAAATAAATGACTTGACATTGGAACAGAGCTATTTATATGAATCTGAGAGAATTGAATGTGAAGAGATAGCTCCTGCTTAAAGAATATTTTGATCTAAGTAAACGGAATTACCATCCATTTGCCGATATGACGAGTTTCGTTCAAAATGTTCTGAAGTAGACAGTGAATGAGTGAAACTCATAGAACCGGATATTATTAGGTTGTGAGCAGGCCATGTTCGCCGAAGATTTCACTTTCGTTTGATCTGAAAGATGCCTCCCCAGGTCATGTCTGTCTCTTGTATGACGATGATGACGGTATTGTTCTGATGGAGGAGGGATCTTTGGTATCTGGAATTAAGAGCAAGGGGTAGTAAACAATTATATTTTACTTCTTTTTCATGATTTAACCCTGGATCTTGTTCTGCACTGGTTGCACGGGTATTTTAGGAGGCAAAGATTTAAATCCCTCATTTTCAAGCAGCAACTACAGAATTATCAAATTTCTTCAATCTTGTGATAATAGTAGCGGAATGAAGTCATTTCACTTTTCTCAGTGCCAGATAGAAATATTAGTTTTCACTATTTCTTTTCAAACTATAATTATTAACTATAATTATTATATAAATATGCAAGAAGATGAATCTCACACTGACTGTCGCCAAAGGCTCTTGGGTTTCTGTTAAGTATGACCAATTGATTACTCCAATAAACAGTTATATTTGTACCAGCAAGCCAAACATTTCACTCTGTGTAGTTCTACTATGAGTTATGTTGTTATTCTTATCTATAACGGAAGGAATTTATAACTTGTCTGTTTACAGACTGTGTTTGTTTGCTTTTGATTTTAAGTCACTATGACAATTTGAAAGGTCATATGGCGACATCAAGCTTTACAAGTTCAGGAAGACCTTAACTATTCACCACTCACCCCTGTTATTGTTTTAGATAATATGGAATATCTTACTAAGGAAAGAAAATTTCCATTTTTTTTCAAGAGCGCAATGTTTGATATGCTTAGAAGAATAAAGTGTGTGCTATACTGCTTGGATTTAGTTTGCTAGTGATATGCTTTAACCATCTGAAAAAGCTGTTGTATTATTCTATTATTCCTTCAAATTTCTGTACCTGTATATCACGTACTAAATACCTGTATATTTATTTTATGCTAGATTATGTTTAATTCTAACATCACATGAATATTTCATTCTTAATTATGATTCCTACAAATATTTCAGCCTCCATCTATCATTACCTGAATAACACATCGTGCTGACTGGAGTAGAGATCATCGTCTGTACAGCTGCATTTACTGAGACTATGTGCACGGTTTTCACGATTTTTTCATCTCCACAAATGGTACGGTACCTCCGCTATCTGTACGGAATACACTACTCGGGCCATATTGACTGGAGGCTTGTAAAGTGATTTCAGTAAGGGCACCTAGACCATATGTTCCTTTAGATGTACGATGAGCCCATGGGATTAGAAACAGTATAACGGACCCCAGCACGATTGGTATTCCAGCACAATGAAACGCTATGTTGTACGAACCTGTTAAATCGTATAGAGCCCCTGCAAAAATAAAAACCGTTGCTTCAAACATAGCAACTGTGCTTATCATTTGTTGGCAGTATATGAATTGGAGAACAATATGAAATAAATAAAAAAAGATACTTGTGCAACAAACAAATGAACTACATTTGTAGTATATTATACTTTTTGTTTTTTGTTTATGTAAAAGTTAAAATTCATAAAACAGTACATAAACATATGCTTGCGTGTCGGTAAATTTCATTTCATTTCATAAGTTGCAAGAAAACATATATTATATATGACTGTTTATATTCTGTGATATCATACTGCTTGTATTTTGATATATTGAAATAAATGATATGAATTGACAGCCTTTATCGAGCCATGAGTCCTTGGTTGAATGCCGGTATATGAGGGTATAGACAGTATACCTGGTGAAATTCGCAAGCTCGTGCGATCAAATTAAGTCTAAGACCGAAAACAAGTTTCCAGCTATCAAAGTTATAGAAGTTCTTCACATGAAGAACCTTCGTTTATATTTTTATTATTGTTTAATGTATTTCAGCAATCTACTGAAAAGCATGTAACTTATACTGGATATTTATAAGAATTTGTACAGTTGTGCACACTATTTATGTCTTAACGTGATTAGCTTTTGACATCAGTATAGAACCAGGCCAGACTGTAAATCTGAGCATTCAGACTTGGCACTTTTCTGCATATTACTTTATATTGAAATTAATCATTTTAGCTTTGAATGAATTGTTCCAATTAAATTCACAACTTCCTTAGGTTATGGGTAAAGCGTTTACCTGCAACTGGAGGGCCCAGTGTAAATGTAATCGAGCATGTCCCTATGAGGAATCCCTAAGCTACTACACAGTTTTCTATTCCTATCAGTGATGCGGTCATAATTGGTAGAAGTACCACAAAACATCCATCAACAAGCCCTACCGTTATAACGTATAAAACTATTCCTGGAAAGTGAAATGTTATACGTCATATTAAAAACAGCATTTTGCTGAAACAGTATGCACCAGTCAATTTCACAGTGAAAATAGTGGAAACTAGTGACTATTAAATTTTCAAACCTCAGGTAAAAACTACGTTCTGGGACAGGAAGAAACTATATATCCGCAAAACGATGTGGACAAACCACGGTCATTTTGGCACCAAGACGGCAGTGCATTGTCCCGGCAAAGAAAAGACAGATGAAACGCCAAAACAAGGATCATTCCCCATCCACTCTTCTTTGTTTATTCTTCCCCAAGGGTGGCGGCTTGACTGATGCTTTACAATATAAGCAATACGAAACATATAACAATAATGTTAAGTGTGATTTTCGTTAATTTTTTAGACTATACGAAGGATACAGACAGTAGAAACAACTGCTAAGAACCCTATAGTTTTTTAGTAATGTTTTGAATAACTTTGATACTAATTTTAGTGAGAATAGATGGGAATCAGACTTACAGTCCATTGGAATTTTGAAATACACACATCCATTTACTTACGTATATGAACCTTTCAGTTCTAAGAGCTAAGACCTAAGTTCTAAGATCTAAGTTCCAAGATCTAACATCTAAGTTTTAACTTCTGATTCAAAACTGCCTCAATAGGCTTACGTAGTTTCTTAATACTATTGTGAAAGAACTTTTTGCAAAGGATGGATTCTAAAATATTTTAAATCCATATCAATGGTAGGAAACTACGTCATCGCGGACATGTTGAGTGCTTTTTATCGACTAATAAGAATATCAAAAAAAAAACTGTAGCGCACCAATACATGATGTAATTTTTAAAAACAAAACGTTCTTCTTTAAGCCTGAAAATGGATAAATTTTGTTTGGGAGTCCCAATGGGAGCATTTAGGAGAAAATTTTAGGACTAAACTAGGCATGCAGTAAAAAAATTTTAACATCAGTACCAACATATACTTATACATAACCCTTTAACTCGACGTCTGTGATATAGCAAAAACAAGCAAACGTAAGTACAATTATCTAGGTACATGTATTTCCCTTTTTAAGCTTGACGATTAATGCATGTATTACCGAACTTTATAAATTCTTGCTTAGTTTTTCGGTAATGATATTGTCTTTATTTGGTGCATCTGTTAACCATCAGTTTTAGGCATTGACCAAGGCGAGGTAACTTTGATATTAACAAAGTTACTACCAAACATTTGTTACTTTTCGTAGACATTGCACTCATTGTTTAAGATTCCATTCATATGTAGAGCATTTTTAATCTTCGTGTCAATGGTTTCAAAATATGAAATTATATCCCGCTTAATTGATAATGTTATCTAAGTGATATTGACATCACAAGAAAGGCTCAAGTTAAAATATATTGGTTGGGTTTAATCACCGTAGGGAACGTGTTACAGTATCGCGTTTTCCAGTTACAGTATAGAATTTTAAAGATGGAGGATTATTTGTTGGGAGGACAGGTAGGCGATTTTTATTCCGGTCCATACTACAAGTCGTTTAGTTTCTAAAAGATGTTTTTGTGCTTTGCTTGTAAGAAACAGAATCCGGTATCTAGTCATATATTTCTTCAGACCCTGCGCCGCAGATTTATCGCTATATTGTCTCGTAGATATGCAGATTTGACTGTTTGAAAATTTGAATCGAGAGACCAACGCATTTTTCTCCAATTTCGACATTATTTATGCATGCCTAGAAAAAGTAAATCTGCAAAACGTTAGTCCTTAATGTTAGGAAACGTTTATAAAAGTAAATGACCAGTTGAACCTATTTTCCTGTTCGTTAAATGCGTTTGAAAAAATAAACAATGTTACAGTATAGAGCGAGTTGATTTGTGCAGGGCTACAGCATAGACCTAGCGATTTGTATCCAATTTTGTTACAGTTTATACCCAGATTTCGGTTACAGTTTAGACTTCGATATTTTCTAAATATATTAGGTAAAATGTATGAATGTTACATAGACTTTTAAATCTCTGTGAGCTTATTGGCCCGATGGTTATTCGTCCGTCTGTCGTACATATGTGTGTGCAATCTCATCCGCTCAGTAACTACTTGACTAAATATGATGAAATTTACATGACTTTCTACCCATTAAGTTGTTCAAATGGTTTCGGTTGCAATCGGGGATACGAAAACCCATAACATTGATTTTGAAAAAAAGGCTATGTTTAAAGACCCTTTTCATCTCGAACCAAAAGCATTCAAATCAAATCCATGATCATGGCGTCATTTCGAATGCTTCTTTGTTGAAGTTACGATTATTTTGTCATTATTAAATTAAAAGTCGTTTTTTATTTATTTCAGACATCCTGTATAGCAGTTTTCATGTTTTCTGAAAAAGAAAATAATATTGAAAGTTATAGAGTATAAATTAAGGTCAGACAATTACAATATATTCTCTAGTGAGCCTGATGGAGGTACATAATAGTCGGGATAAGGCGGTCGACTTCAAATCATCTTTCATTTACTGCTGTAGTTGAAATCCAATCGTTGGGATTCTGTTTTTCTCCATTTAATTGTCACATCCGTGTTATTTGTGCCGTGTGGCGGCTGTACAAAGTCTCCCCGTAC